TTGGATTGGAGTTTAGAAAAGTTGGTTTGTAAAAATAAGATTAGTAAAAAGTTGTTTGGATTATGATTGAGTAAAAGTAAGTTTGGTTATAAAATGATCAAAATAAGTATGAGTTTTAATAAATAATAAAATTAAACATGATTAAAAAAATGATTTCACATAATACAATAAGTACCTGTTTAGGTCCGCGTTTACTGGCCCAAATGTGGCTTATAATTGAAAATAAGGTCAGTGGGAGTTTTGGTTCGTTTGGCAAAGCTTTTTAACAATTGGGCTTATTAATTTTTAAGCCACTTCAACCCACGATTGAGATAAGCTGGTGAGATGCAGCTTATGATCACATGAGAAGAGCTTATGACCATTCTGAGATGTGTCAGAGAATTTATTCCCTTTATTCTTCTCTTCCATTTGCCTTCTTATTCCTTTGTGAGGCTCACTTTCTTTTTTTTAACCCCAAGCTCCCACCCTTGCTTTGTCTTTGCTCATCGAGAAGGTCCATCATTGTTTACCTCCCAGAAGGTCCGTCGCTAGTGACCGTGAGCTCCATCCCATCATCATCATGAGGTCAGCTGTTGGGTGTGGGGTGTGGGGAGGTGTGGTGTGCGTGGCCTGGTGGATGCTGCTTGTTCATCGCAAGTCGAGCTGCTCTCACCATCTTCAACTGAGGTCGTTGCCGTCTGCCTCTGCATTTGAGCTGTGTGTGGTCATGGATGTTGTTAATGATTTTTGCATGTTGAGGACCGACTGGTTGTGACATTGAAACAAGGGCTTTATGTTTCAAATTTTATGGTTTTGGGTTACTGCAATCTTTTGTTGCATTTTGCTTAGTTGTTTAGAGATATTCACTGTCAAAGCTTGGTTAAAAGTTTCAGAGATTGGTGTTGGATGCTCTGAATTTTTGAAGGAGGGAACCTAGCTTAAAATTTCTGGTTGCATGTGGATTTTCTTCCCCTCTTTCCAAGGCTGAAACAGGGATTAATGGTTCAAGGAAATGGCTCTAGCTTAATGAGAAAATGAAGAGTATAAATGTATATATGACCAAAAGCTTGGGTATGTAGTGTTGGGGATTTAAATTGATGTGTATATGTCTATGTTGTTAATGGTGAGAGGTCTAACTCTGGAATTGCAATTTTTAGAATTACAATGGTTGTTGTTTTGCATGTCCCTAGCGTCAGGTTCTTGGTTTTTGTGGTTATAGAATTCAGTCTCTATGAGGGTAGAAGAAAATGAGGTAGTAATGTGGTGTATATATATGTATACATGTGTGTTCGGGTGGTTCATTGAGAGAAGGGGGATTGTTAAATGAAGTTATAAATTAAAGGAGGGGTTAGAGTTTTCCTAAATGAAATCAGAAAGTCATTGGTTTTAAGTTACTGGAGATTTGTAGAAGTTATTAAAGGGTAATTGCTTAATTGGAATATAATGCTAATGAATATTCACAATTTAAATCGCTAATCAATTTCACTTCTTCATATTAAATTAACAATAATTCATTGTATTATGTCAATTCATTTTTTTTCATATTTCACTTTATATTTAAAATATTTTTTATGGTTTTTCTACAATTTTAAAATTTAATTCATTCATTAATTTGACTTCTTCATAAAAAATTATTTTAATTTCATTGTATTAAGTGAAGTCATTTTTTTTTATCATGTTTCATTATTTATTAAAACTCAGACCCATTTTGGTCATTTTATAATCAAACTTACTTTTACTCAACTATAATCTAAACAATCTTTTACCAATCTCACTTCTGCAAACTAACTTTTTTGAACTCCAATCCAAACATAATTCAACTTATCTAATTTATTTTTTACCAACTTTACTTTTTTATAAGCTACTTTTTCAATAAGCTGCTTTTCCAATTGCTCATCCAAACAGACCATAAAATTAAAATAATTTAATATGAAGAAGTTAAATTTAATGAGTAAATTAAATTTAAGAAGTCAAATTTCATATCTAGTTGGCCTCCAGCTCCTCCCTTGTGTTCTGCTCCCCGTGAAAAGTCAGAAGATGAACAGTGCCTAACTAGTCTCGTCGACTACCAGAAAAAGGTCCAATATGTGAACTCTCCCTTTCCAATCAGAAAAAGACGATGATCACTGCTCCTAAAGTCGTCTTAAAAGCACGATTTCATAAACCATGAGCGGGAGAATTCTACTTCTTTAATCAGGCTTAAAAATTGCAGCTTTTGGCCATAAGTAAGATTGAACAAAAGTTGAACCAAATATCTCACTGAGAAGTCAATCGTGCTTATACCTTCAAAAGCTACTTACAACTGTTTGGCTAGACATTTTAGGCACCATAAGTGGCTTATAAGCCTAAAAAAGCACGATTACAAATGTTAACACTGTTTGATTAAGCGATTGGACAATATGGTTTTTGTATGAAAAGTTACAATAAGCTATAGGCTAAAATTGATAGCTTATGTGCCTGTTTGGGTCAGCGTTTGCTGGCCCAAACGTGGCTTATAAGTGATTATAAGCTCAGTGGGAATTTTGGACCGTTTGGCAGAGCTTTTTAACAATTGGGCTTCTGAATTTTTAAGCCCCTTCAACGCGCGATTGGGATAAGCTGGAGAGGGGGAGCTTCTGATCATATGGAAGGAGCTTATGGACCGTTCTGATAAGGAATCTATTCCCTTTACTTTTCTCTGAATTCATTTGCTTTCTCCTATTCCCTCGTGAGCGAGAGAGTCCTTTTTTTTTTAAACCAAGCCCCCATGCTTGCTCTGTCTTTGCTTGCCTCGATAAGAAGGTCCGTCGGTGGTCGCCTTCAAGAAGCTCCGTGGCTGGTGATCGTGAGCTCCGTCCCGTCATTGTGGTGAGGTCGGCTGTTGGGTGTGAGGTGTGTGTGGCCTGGGGATGCTGCTCGTTCATCAGAAGTCGTTTGGTGTTTGACCGTGAGCTCCGTCTGTGGTCGCCTCGACCAGGTCCGTCGGTGGTCGCCTCCAAGAAGCTCCGTCGCTGGTGACCGTGAGCTCCGTCCCGTCATCATCGTGAGGTCAGCCGTTGGGTGTGAGGTGTGCGTGGCCGTGTGGATGCTGCTCGTTCATCACAAGTCGGAGCTGGTCTCACCGTCTGCAATCGACGTCGCCGTTGTTTGCCTCTGCATTTGAGTCGTGCGTGGAGTTCTTCTCTTCCCAGAGCAATACACCGTCCGATCTACCTCTGGCAGGCTTCGGTTGGTTGGATCTGTTACAGGTTGGCCGGTTTAATTTTGTTATGTTGCTTTTCCGGTTTGATCCCTGTGGTTGAATTTGTTGTCGTCCTTGAAATTCCTGTGGTCCTTGAATTTACATGTTGTTACTGATTGCTGCATGTTGAGGACCGACTTGTTATGACACTGAAATAGGGGCTTCATGTTTTGAATTTTATGGTTTTCGGTTATTACAATCTTTTGTTGGATGTTGGTTAATTGTTTAGAGATATTGACTGTCAAAACTTGGTTAAAAATTTCAGACAGTGGTGCTGGATGCTCTGATTTTTTGAAGGAGGAATGTAGCTTAAAATTTCTGGTTGCATGTGGATTTTCTGCCTCTGTTTTTGAAGGACGAAACAGGGATTAATGGTTCAAGGAAACGGCTCTAGCTTAATGAGAAAATGAAGAGCATAAATGTGTGTATATGACTGAAAGCTTGGGTGTGCAGTGTTGGGGATTTAAATTGTTGCATATAGGTCTATGTTGTTAATGGCGAGACATGTAACTCTGGAATTGTAATTTTCAGAATTACAATGGTTGTTGTTTTGCATGTCCTTAGCTTCGGTCTCTTGGTTTTTATGGTTATAGGATTCGATCTCTATGAGGGTAGGGTAGAAGAGAATGAGGTGGTAACATGGTGTATATATGTGTATATATGTGTGTCCGAATGGTTCATTGAGGGGGGGCATTGTTAAATGAAGTGATAAATTAAAGGATGGGTTAGAGTTTTCCTAAATAAAGTCAGAAATTCATTGGTTTTAAGTTATTGGAGATTTTTACAAGTTATTAAAGGGTAATTGCTTGACTGGAATATAATGCCAATGAATATTCAAAATGTTTGGCCGAATGATATAGGAAATAAAAGAAGATAAGAATTGATACATATATCACCGTTACATTTGGTCTCTCCAAGTAAAGCCCAAACAAACGTGATTGATTACTTTTATCAAAAAATAGAGGCACAAACATTATCATTCACTTGCAAAATAATTGACTTATTTGATAGAGCTAATTAACGGCGTTGATAGAGCAAAGTAATAAGACATTAATTTGTACTATACAAAGAAATTAAGGACTATGTGGGTAATTACTTAAAAATCATTTGGAATTAATTTCGGGAAGTCTCAATCAAAATAAATTTAATGTTGTTCTTTCTCCTGCTATATTCTCTTACTTCTCTCTAATATGATATTTATTTAACTAATTTAATTATATTAAAAAAGTTAGGTAAATTAGTTAATTATAATAAATATAACATATTTTTGTAAATAATCTTGTTCATCATTCTTAATTTGGTTTTTATTTTACTTTTACACAGTTAAATTGGGATAAAAATTAATCAATGTAATGCAGTTTAGGTTCAATTTATATGATATATTGAAAATTTAATTTTAAAATGTTCACAATCAATTACCACTGGAAAATAGTGGACATTGACGTTGTGATTATATATTTATAATTTTAAAAAATATTGAATAAGAAAACTAAACAACTTATGCAATTAAAATGTGTTACTTGGTGATATATGTTTGTTTGGTTACAACGTATGTGTTATATAATACGGCTTTTATTATTACATATTTAGGGCTTTGGTTGATTCAGTTACTCTTATCTCGATCAAAGGGCGTAGAGAAATGGATAATGACAGGGGAAAAGCGACATCGGATCATTACACGACAAAAATTCTAATCGATGTTTGTGTCGAGCAAATAGTGCACAAAGAAAGACAAGGAACATCGTTTACAAGACCTGGTTGGGGGAAAATTGAAAAGAATTTTCGGGAAAGGAGCGGGAAAATGTATGACAGGAGGCAACTGAAGAACATATTTGATGTATTGAGAAAAGATTGGAAGTTGTGGGAAAAACTAATGTCTGGGGAGACTGGCATTGGTTATGATGCAGCCACAAATAGGGTGTTGGCCTCTGATGAGTGGTGGCAACGAAAAATACTGGTAACTATTTGTGTTAGTTGAGTTTTAATTTTGAATATCAGAAGGAACATCGCTTAATTATGCCTAATTATGTTCATGTAGGTGGACCCTAATTTTAAGAAATTTAGACATCAGGGGTTGATGTTTGCATCAGATCTGATGAAAATATTCAGAGATGTTATGGCTTCGGGAGAGTATGCGTACGCACCATCAGCCTCACAGCCTTAGCTAGCGTTTGCTCCACAGCCTGACACAGAAGAGGAGGAGGATGTTTATAGAGTCGGGCTAGACCAACAAGAAGGGTCAAGGGATAGTGAGGATGAAAACTTTGGTGTGGACCCAACAGCCAGTGCAGGGTTCACAGATGACTTCGCTGCTTGCAACATAAACAACCCCGCAAGCACTGGACCAAGTAGCTCAGGAAGCTATGGAAAGAGAAAGAGGGGTGAGACATCAGATGCAAAGAAGAAGAAGAAAGTTGCTGCATCTACATTAATTTCTGATAGCATGAGTGTCATAGCAGCTGCTTCTGACAAGCGAGCAGCAGCATTGGTTGAAGATCCCCAAGTAGTTGATAAGGTTTTGGCACACCTGACTACCGTTGAGGAGCTTAATGATGACAATCAACTATATTATGCATGTGCCAAGATGCTTACGCTGTTGAGGTGGGCTAGGCGAGCCTATTTGGGGTTTATGCATGATAGAACCAAGTTGTTGGCGTGGTTGATACCGGCAGCACAAGACCCAGACACATGGAAGTGACCTGCAGAATAGGATTTAGTTTAGGACTTAGTTGTTTCACTATTTTATTGCACTTGTTAACCTGAAATACCTGCTGTTTTAACCTAAGCTGATGTGGCATGTTGTAGGAACTTTATTAATGATTATGTAATATATTTACGCTAATTTCTACTTGTCATCTATGCGTTTGGTTTTTTTGTTTGTAGTATGAAAATTATTTACACTTTGGTTAGTGTAATCCTTATAATGCTTACATTTTGTTTTCACCACAGTTACAGGGTTAATTCCAGAAATGGCTAATTGGAACGATGATTCACTATGGAATGAAGATACTTTATGGAATTGGAATAACGATTCACGGTCAAATGAAGATGACCATTCAACACGGTTATCCATAATTAATGAGGAATTAACACAATATGAAGCAGTAGGTGCATTGGTTGGTCATTATTGTGAAATGTACATGTTTAAACAACCGTGCAGAACTAGTGAGCAGACAGGAAATTTATGGGTACAAGGCATTATGAATGGGCATGATGATCGATGTCATGAAATGTTTAGAATGGATAAAGATGTTTTCCACCTCTTATGTACTAAATTGGAGGAACATGGTTTACAAAAGTCTAAGTACGTAGGAATTGAAGAAATGGTTGCGATGTTTTTAAACACGGTTGCACATGGACAATGCAATAGGATGATCCAGGAATGATTTCAACGTTCAGGGGAAACTATAAGTAGGCACTTTCACAATGTACTACAAGCTTGTCTTAGCCTATTGAGTGAACTTATTCGACCCATAGATCCAACATTTCGTGGAACTCATAGAAAAATTGAGAACGATCCACGTTACTACCCATTTTTTAAGGACGCAATCGGAGCAATTGATGGCACTCATATACAGTGTGTTGTCCCCGCTGCAAAACGAGACAAATTTATTGGCAGAAAGGGAAATCCATCACAAAATGTCATGGCTGTATGTGATTGGGTATGTGTTTCACTTTTGTCTTGGCAGGATGGGAGGGATCTGCACATGATGCTCGTATATTTGATAGTGCTATTACAAATTCATCTCTTAATTTCCCTCATCCACCTCCAGGTATATGTTTATGTGTTCCAATCATGCATGTTTTTTTAATTATTTCATACTTTTATTCATTTCACAATCTCTCAAATTGTTTCATGAATCATTAGGGAAATATTACTTGGTTGATGCGGGATATCCAACACCAAATGAATATCTAGGTCCATACAGATCTGAGCGCTACCACCTTTCAGACTTCTGACGACAAGTAGGATTCTGAAATAGTAACGAAGCCTTCAATTATTATCATTCCAGTTTAAGGTGCACAATAGAAAGAACATTCGGTGTTTGGAAGAATAGATTTCAAGTCCTACGAAACATGCGCAGTTACGACTTCCAAACACAAGTATATCTGGTTTGTGCAACAATGGCCATTCATAACCTTATAAGGAGACATTCGAGCTCCGACTTGTTTTTTGAACAAGCTGAAAATGGTAATAATGTGGGCGAACATGATCAGGCTGAAGCTAGTCAACCATCATCTTCAAATGTTACATCACAGTCTTTATCGCATATGAATCGCATCCGTGATGCAATCAGAGACCAAATTATCCATAGCTTATCTATTGATTAATTATGTAATATTATTTAGTTTCACTTTGTTGCAATACTGCAAATTGGAGTTAAAAACATGTTTACCCATTCAAATTATGTTTCGTTTTATATTTACAATTTTTTTCTATTTCTCTTATGTTTTCAAATTTAATTCCCTCGATCAATTTCACTTCTTCATATTAAATTAACAATAATTCACTGTATTATATCAATTCATTTTTTTCATGTTTCAGATTATATTTAAAATATTTGTTATGATTTTTTTGAAATTTTAAAATTTAATTCACTCATTAATTTGACTTCTTCATAATAAATTATTTTAATTTCATTGTATTATGTCAAATCATTTTTTTTTATCATATTTCATTATTTATTAACACTTATACCCATTTTGGTCATTTTATAACCAAACTTACTTTTACTCAACTATAATCCAAACAACTTTTTACCAATCTCACTTCTGCAAATTAGCTTTTCTGAACTCCAATCTAAACACAATTCAGCTTATCCAATTTAGCTTTTACCAACTTCACTTTTCCATAAGCTACTTTTCCTATAAGCTGCTTTTCCAATCGCTCATCCAAACGGACCCTATGAGTTATAGCATTTGAAACATGGAGAGGAAAAAAGTTAAGAAATTTATTATCTCATTTGGTTCTTATTATAAGTCTCAGATAACTAATTTGTAAATAACAAAAAATCAGTTAAAATTAGTTGAAAGTAATAAATAAGTTAGAAATATACTTTTATTTTTAAATATGCTCCTAGAAATATACTTTTATCTTTTTCATGTTTCACTTTACATTTAAATTATTTTTTATGATTTCTCTAAAATTTTAAAATTTAATTCACTCAATCAATTTCACTTCTTTATATTAAATTAATTTAAATTTATTGTATTATCTCAATTCATTTTTTCAATGTTTCACTTTATATTAAAAATATTTTTTTATGATTTCTCTAAATTTTTAAAATTTAATCTACTCATTAAATTTAACTTCTTCATATTAAATTATTTTAATTTCATTGTACTATGTGAAATTATTTTTTTAATCATATTTCATTATTTATTAAAAATTATACTCATTTTGGTCATTTTATAACTAAATTTACTTTTATTCAATCATAATTTAAATAACTTTTTACCAATATCACCTTTACAAACTAACTTTTCTGAATTCCAATCTAAATATAATTTAGCTTATCCAATTTAACTTTTATCTAACTTTATTGTTTCAAAAACTACTTTTTTAATCGCTGATCTAAAAAGACCCTTAATCAGTGCTCAAATGCTGATCCAAACAGGGCCTTAGATTTACATCACACTCGACTTCTGCTTTCTTTCTTTTTTTTTTTTTTTTGGCCGGAAGACTTCTGCTTTCTCACACCTTGTGTCCCACGTGCACCCCCCAAGCTTTAGCCCGCTTTACATCACATCGTCCGAGTTGCGTCAAAAAGTTTTTGCTATCTTCCTGTTGTTTTCAGAGTTTTTTCTGCTTGCTGGTTCTGCTATCTCCTAGGGGTTACCAGGTGCTCCTTCAAAGCTAGAACTCATCCCTCGCCTCTAGTCCCGGGTTTATTAATCATTAGCCCCTGGACTTGCAAACCAATCATTAGCCCCTGAACTCATCCCATGGCTTTTTAAATTGATGAATTTATATGAAGAATTGTGTTTTTACATAAATTAATATATTTTTATATAAAAAGTTATACAGGAAATTACAATACTCTTTCGGTTTTAAATATAAGATCCTTATACTACTTGATGAAATATTGTGTTGTTTTCTAAGATAACTGTACGTATTTATAAGATGTAACTCTTGGCAGAAAGAATATTAAATAACTTTTACTTTTAATTATTTAAATTATGTTGGTTCATACATGGTTGTGATTTTTAATTAAAGAAGTATTTTTCTAAGAGACATCTCTTCAAGACATCATTCATAGACCATTCACCATTATTCCATTTGAACAAGAAAGATAAAATACAATACAAATACACCAACATCAAATTTATTGTTTTTATCTTTGAGAGCACACAAAAATAAAGTCAAATTATTATTTTGTAAAAATTATTGTTGTCTTGATTTAAATATTGAGAGAACAATCCGTATTTAATATTACTTCCGGTCCTTAATATAAGACCCTATTTGAATTTTATTTTAGTCCTAAATATAAGACCCCAATCCATTTTGTTTATCATATTTATACATTTTTTCTAAAGTAGCCCTTCTAATAATAAGAATTCTAGTCAATACACTTGATTAGCAATGATATTTTAGGAAAGACAACACCTATTTAGGACATATAATTAACTCAATTTACTTCTTTACTCTCCTCAAATTAGCCAACTAGTTTTTATAATTAGGACCGGAGGTAGTAGTTTTCATTGTTTCTGAAAGAAATTCGTGAGTCACCTATTAATGTGTAGTGTATGGAATAATGTATCTAGTTTCTACAAAGAGATATGTATGGTAGAACTAATTGGTTAAAAAAAAAATGCATGTTAGAATTAGAGTACCGGGTGTGTTTGGATGAAACCAAACCGTGGTTTGGAAAAGTGATTCTGGAAAATAGATTTTGGGAAAAATAGATTCTGGAAAGAATAGATTTTATGAAAAAGTGATTTTGAGAAGTGAGAGTGTTTGAATAGTTGTTATCAGAAGCACTTTTTATATATACAAATTACTAAAAAAAAGACATAAGTTAATATGATAATTACAGAAAAAATAGATTTTATGATATATTTTAATTTGAAGGAATAAAATTGGTAATAATATATTTTTTATTAACATAATTAATAATACATAAGATAATATAATTAATAAATAATTAATATGTATATATATTTATAAAATATAAGATTAAATATGTTTATAAAAATATGTTTATAAAAAAAATAACAAGACACATATCCTATAGACTCTCACACTCTCCCTTTTTTCTCCAAAAGCAAAAATTTTTTGCTTTTTCCAAAACCATGGTTTTGGTTTTTGGGTGGGTGTTTGGGTGATTTATTCCTCAAATCATGGTTTGGGGTGTCACCCAAACATAGCCTTAAAACCATAAAATTCAAAATAGATAATTTTTTTTATAACCAATAAATACTGATATTTAGTCATAAGGGATTAAGTATAGAAGATTGCTAGAAAAATTAATCTTTTGGTCCCTATTATTTTCACTCATTTGTAATTTAATCTTTATACTTTGACTTGGTGTAACTTAGTCTCTATAGTTTTGACTCGGTTGTAACTCAGTCCTTAAAGTTTCACTCGCTGCAACTCGGTTCATATACTTTTAACCATTTTATAATTTAGTCCATCCTTTTATTATATACTACCTCTGGTCCTTAATATAAGGCTTTGTTTGACTTTTATTTTAGTCC